CTCACATCATGGATCAGTCAGCAGCAGCATCTGATTAATATGCGATCCATGATGTGAGGGTCCGGTGGCGCCTGTGTATGGCAGCCTCGCTTCTGTCAGTGTGCCCCAGGGCAGCTGTGGCTACAATTGTAGTTTGCCATCATCAGTGTGTGAATGTGTGTGTGCATGGGTGAATGTCTGTAGTGTGAAGCACTTTGAGTGTCCTGGATGGATAGAAAGGCGCTATGTAAGTACAGTCCATTTATCATTTACAATGACTGACGTCTGGAACAGGGGATAGAACTGGTGACCAGACTAGACTAGATTAAGTTCGTTTTGGTTCAGGTGTACCTGTATTTTACCAGGTCCAATATTTAATTGAAAAAATTTTTTCACATGAATGACTAGTACCTTTGGTCCGTCAGCCAGCCGAAGGTGATGTTCCCCAAGATGTCGATGACTCCCAGGATGGACATGAGCAAGGCAGCATTCTGGTGGCTGACGCCACAGCTCAGAGCGTACGGCACCAGATAAACGAAGGGCAGGCTGCAGCCGCTGGCCAAGAATAGGAAGGACACGGCCAGACCCAGAAAGTCTGGGAGCAACAGGAAGTGGTACTCCTTACTGGACAGGAAGCAGGAACTGAAGCAACATGTCCTTTTTGCATTTGAGGGTGGCAGGGGCAGCAGAGATGGCTCCTTGTTTCTGTTTTCAGAATCTTTGAATTTGATAGAAAACTCAGCTTCCTGGGATAAATCGTCACCTGCATCAGAAAAAACAGGTGAATAGTAGTTTTACCTGCTCAACAGGTTGTGGTGGTGCTGAGGTTCAAAGATACCTCCTTTTTTAATCTGAGTCAGCCAGAACACCTTCCAGTTGGTTCTGATTTGATTCTAAGATGTTTGAGTTCTCTGATCAGGAAAGCTGTGTTCTCTCAAGACACATCAGTACAAACGTCCGTACCTTGCTGTCTCTCACCACATGTCTCTCTTCCTTTATTCTCCATCTCCTCCTCCTGCTTTGTGTTTGGTCGCAGCAGTGCTCCACAGACACAGAGGTTAGCCACGAAGGCACTGAGAACAAGAAGTGCCCCCCTCCACGACAACAGGTCAATGAGCAGCTGCACGGCTGGAGCTAGAACGAACGTCCCGATGCCGCTGCCCGACATGGCGATGCCATAAGCCAACGCCTTCCTGCGCCGGAAGTAGCAGCTTACCATGGCGATGGCTGGAGTGTAGCAGAGGGCAAATCCAAGACCTGGAAGGGCAAGAGGGATTGATAGAATACCCCAGACAGGGAAAAAAATTTTTAGGGTCTTTGTAGAGTCTCTAATGGGTCTTAGTTGAGTCTCTGATGGGTCTTTGGTCTCTGATGGGTCTAGTTGAGTCTCTGATGGGTACTTTGTTTGTCTCTGATGGGTCTTTGTTGAGTCTCTGATGGGTCTTAGTTGAGTCTTTGATGGGTCTTTGGTCTCTGATGTCTTAGTTGAAACTCTAATGGGTACTTTGTTTGGTCTCTGACGGGTCTTTGTTGAGTCTCTGATGGGTGTTTGTTTGGTCTCTGACGGGTCTTTGTTGAGTCTCTGATGGGTGTTTGTTTGGTCTCTGATGGGTCTTTGTTGAGTCTCTGATGTGTGTTTGTTTGGTCTCTGATGGGTCTTAGTTGAGTCTCTGATGGGTACTTTGTTTGGTCTCTGACGGGTCTTTGTTGAGTCTCTGATGGGTGTTTGTTTGGTCTCTGATGGGTCTTAGTTGAGTCTCTGATGGGTACTTTGTTTGGTCTCTGATGGGTCTTAGTTGAGTCTCTGATGGGTACTTTGTTTGGTCTCTGATGGGTCTTAGTTGAGTCTCTGATGGGTCTTTGATCTCTGATAGGTCTTAGTTGAGTTTCTGATGGGTCTTTGTTGGGTCTTTGACTCCAGACTTGCATGTCTGGTCTTAAAACTTGAGTGGAAAAACCTGAGACTTTGTAAAACAGTGACTTAGTACTGCTCAGAGACAAAATGAAAACTCCTGTTGATGATTTGCAGCAAAAATTCATTGATGTTTGATTGGTTAACAGAGTTTATGTTTCAGTCTGTAAAACAATCATCTCAGAATGTTTCGTTAACAGATTAAAGGTTTGAACAAACCGATGAAATCTGATTTTTATGGTTTTTATGAACTTTTAGACCACTTTATTCATCAGACCTGTCCATGTTTGTTATTTTCTTTTGGATTCTGGGCCTCGGGACATAATGTGAGCTGAACAACCAGATGTTAAAGATTCAGGAGCTCTGTCTCTGCAGCCACAGTTTACAGATTAAAGTGGAATTAGTGACTAAACTGACTGTTGGGTCTAAACTTGATAATTTTTTATCCAAGTTACCAAAAAGGTTTACAAACTGGATTTTAGCTGCTTGTCTGATCAGCAGCTGAAACATTTCAGTCTAAAATAAAATTGATTGTCATCAGGGGAATAAATCAACTCTTTATATTCAGACCTTCGTGGAAAAGCAAGACTTGGGCTGAAATTATCCTGAAGGTTTTTAAAAATAAGTTTCAGTGAAGAAGGATTTGTGTCTTAACTCGCTGAACACTAAAAACCAGACAGGTGAGTTTGCCCGAGGCAAGAACACACTGTTCTCTAAGTTTTAATATGATAATTATCTCGTGATTTGAGGTTATGTTGTTTTAAAGGGCAGGTTTTGTTTGCTTGAAAGTTGAGAAACATGATTCTCAAAAAGCTGAAAACCAGAGGATCAGCTGGGGCAGGATGGATCTCAGGTCCTTGTTCGGGTCTTTCATAGATTTGTTCCTGTTTCTTTATAACTTTCGGGTTCTGTTCATCTGATGGAGAGAGGTTTAGACTGGTGAAATAAACACCTTGTTGGAGCAGAAGTCAAACTGTTCAGGTACTTAGATAACCCAAAAGTCCCAACTAGTCATCTTTTCAAAAGACAGGACCAGCCTGGACCAAACTACTGGTAGTTTTTGATTTAGTTGCAAAAGTTAACGAGTAAGCATCAAAAATGTTTCCATTGGAACCAGTCAACACAAAGTCTGCCTAGATGGTGAACTCGCAGTAGCAGTTAACTAGTGCTAAAAATGTCAACTAAACAACTCAATCCATGGCTGCTAAAATTGTTAACAAGAAAACTAAAACGGTATACCTAAAGTGTTGACTAGTTAGCTAGTATTGTCCAAGTCCCAGTGCTCCTGTTTTCTAAAAAAAAAATTCTGCTTTGAAAAAGGAAATGTTTCCTCCCGAGACATCAAAAGTTAGAAACTAATTTGGTCCGAATATGTCTAGAACTCAAAGTGACCCCTCAGAGTTCTGCTTCCTGTCTGATGCCTGACCTGTCAGGACGCCCATGCTGAAGTAAAGGTGCCATAAGCTGGTGGAGAAGGAGCTGAGCAGGAGACCACAGAAGGACAGGATTCCACCCGACATCACTGCCCCCCTGCAGGACCAGCGGGTCGACACCAGACTTCCTATCGGAGCTGCACACAGAGACACTTTCAGCTGGCCTTCGAGTCGGGCCGCTTGTTAAAGATGGCTCGGTACCGACCGCAGAGCATGGTGGTGCAGTCCACCAGGCTGTGGATCCAGGCTGTGGACGAGTAGTCTGCTTCAAAGTGAGCCTGAAACTCCACAAAGAAGATGGAGATGCACCTGCAGACACACAGAGGGTCAACAATATCATCAACCAACAAAAAAACAGTTTCATGTTGTAAAAAACAGGAAACAGGTCAGATCTCAGATGAACAGAACATTTCTGATGAAAAATAAAATTAAACTGGACTCTGTTTAAAAAAACAGCAGTGTCATATTTAAAAAAAATCCTGTATATTTGCTGATTAATGGAAGTTTATTTTAAATCTAAGGATTATACAACCTCTGGCAAGAAGTATGGAATCACCAGTCTTGGATGAGCACTCATTCAGACATTTCATTCTGTAAAAAAAACTCAGATCAAAACATGATACAATAATAAGGTCATTCCAATTAATGTAAAAATACTAGTGATGTATTTTGAATGGTCTTTTGTTTAGGTTTTTCCTGATTCCATACTTTTCTCCTCAGAATTGAGTGATTCCATATTTTTTTCCCTGTGCTTGGTCAATAAAAGTAACATTCACTGGCTTCCACAATGTTTTCTCTTCATTTCTTTGAGTGTTCCTGAAAGCTAACAAGTTGCACTTTGGAATGACCTTATTATTGTATCATATTTTTGATCAGTTTGTTTTTACAGAATCAAATGTCTGAATGAGTGCTCATTCAAGACTGGTGATTCCATACTTTTTGCCAGGGATTATAAAAATATTTGAACTGTTTCAGGCATGGCTCAGTTGGTGGAGATGAACTTCTTGTTTCACTCAGAGGTTAACAAATTCAAAGTCAGCGTCAGCAGAGACAAACTGATTTATAATTAATGATCTGCTGTTTTGTGTTTTCCACACATTTAATGAGCCAGCATTTATTAGTTCTTCTGTAGTCAGAGAAACAAAGCTGCTCCTAGAACATCAAGTTCTATTAAAACCATTCAAGTATGCTGAGAACATTTCGTTTGGTACTGTGTGTTACTGTGTGTTAGTGTGTTACTGTGAGTTACTGTGTGTTATTAGGTATATGGATCTGTTCCAACCTGTCAAATCTGTTTGCTCAATACACACACACAGGTCTGATGCACATCTCTGTTATGTCGCATACTATATACTTATACTTACTATATACTTAAACAAACCTTATTCTGATTCTGATCCAAACTGCTGGTTCTAATCCAGACTATTGATTGTGACCCAGGCAAAAAGAACAAACTCTAGATCAAAAGTTCAGATCAGAACTGTTTGAGGTTCTGAGTTAACGGTCCCAAAATGCATCCTTTATACAACTGTCACTTACATATTACGTGTGCATATGTATGCACTATCTGTGTGTTATTATATGTATTTATTTATATGCATTTCTTATATATATTTACATACATACATACATACATACATACACACACACACACACACACACACACACACACAC